ACCGTTCCTTTATTCTGTCCTTTCCTGTCTCTTGAAGGATAACGACTAACTGCAATTTCGATTTCTTCTTACAATATCATTGAGTCGGATTAGCAATCATGAAGCAACTAGAAGTTTTAAATGAATATTATACTGATCTAGATTACAATATCGACAAAGACGTAAGTATATTGATATGCGCAGAAGATATCAATGTGCTGCTGCGGATAAGTTATGAAATTTAATAGTTAATACTAATATAAGAAAGAGTTTTAGTCTGTTTTTTTTGTGTCTAACGCTGTTTCTTGTGTGTATTTTTAGGAAGCACTGGAAAAAATAAGTGATCTATCTAAGACAGTAAGGTTCCATAATTCCATCAATATTTCAGACAGGTAAATAACGATAATTTTAAGACGGAATAATAAGAGACGTGGACGTTGCTTTTTCTATTTTTGTTATTTTTAATATTTTCTCTTTTGCATCTATATAGATTGGAGGTACTGGCGAATATAATACAAGATAATATATCGTTTTTTAAATCTGTTTGTGCACACGTAGATATGATTGATACTATTGTAGGGTATTTAAATCATTATGCAGCATACATTAAGTATATCAAAGGTACAGTAATATTATTCTTGCAAGTGTAGTTGTGTATATCAATAATATATTATTTGCGTCTTCATTTTCTTATAAGTAACAGCAATAGCTGCATTAAGTTGTTATTTATAAAAATCTTATGTTATATTTTTATTTTGTAAATCTAGATGATAGTATCGAGATTATTCAAGTGACGATCTTTCCATTAATACATACACTCTTCCATATATGTGATGAATTTGAAATAAAAGCATTTTTGTTACTTCCTATCTTGTAACTATATACATATATACATATCTATATACATAACAAAAATTTTACTTATTAATATACTTATTTTCATATTTATTAATTCAGAAGTTCTTATATTAAAAATTAATGTTTTAAATACTTTTTATAATATTAGTTATATATTTTCTGTCTTCTAGCACAGATTCCTTATGGCCTGAAAATACTTATTCAACAGTATTAGCTGGGCTAAGTTTAATTAATTTAGGTAACAAAAGTATTTGTTTATATTGTAATGCGTGCTGTTCATAAAAACATATCTTTTCTTTATAATTAAGAATTTTCGTACAAGTACTTATGCAGAACACATTATTACAGAGGGCGAAATGATAATTCTAGAGGATTCAGACTTGTATGCGGTTGTTAACTATTTAATAATAACAGACAAATTTCCTTTATATATGATATGGGTGCAGGAACAAGTGAAAGAAAAATTTGTATGGCTTATGAAGAGACATTATTCAGACATTACAGCTTGTGAAGAGATGTTACTCATTATTGATACATTTCAGTCATTGAAAGATATTCAACTTCATGTGTATCATGAGCCTACTATAAGTGTAGTATCTATATGGTCCGAAGATATTGTAGCTGCGAAGAATTTAGCGCTATCTTTAAATGTACATTATTTAAATTATATAACATAATATATAGGGAAGAATTATCTTAGGCTTCATTAAAATACTTTTTCTATTTCTTAATCATTCAGAGTCCTATAATATTGATAAATTCATACATGCATTTCTCTGGTACTGCTGTGCTTTTCCCTTATGAAGAAATGTGTGAGTATACAAAAAAGCAGGGAACCATAAATGACATTCGCAAACAAATATCAGAATCGGATTCAACTGATACAGAACACAGTGTAAATGTAGTACACCTCTCACATATCGCGGAAATAAACTTTAATTTAATTTGTGATCTGTTTTACGACGGTACCTGGCAGAAACCTGTAAAGGGCATGTATTGGAAGCATAATGACTACCTGTGGGCAAATGCAACAAAGTATGAAAGTATACGTTTTCTTGATCTTATTAACTGCAATAATAGTTCTTGTATTTGAAAAATTGAACAAAGACACATTGAACTTTTAATCAATTAATGTATCGTTATTATAGCGACGATATTATAAGATGCTATGAGTCAGCTGAGAAAGGATTCAAAACTTGGAGTATCAAGTCCGTTAAGACTAGAATACAAATATTATCAAAACTTGCGTCCATGTTAAAACTTAATGGGTATTTTTTGAGTTATTGAAAACTTCTTATATGTTTTTGTAATATTCTACTTATGTTTGCTTGATAACTTTTCAACAATTATCTTTTGTTTTTTTCTTTTTAGCAAACTTGTATTGGCAGCTATAGTCACAAGATGGTTAAAATTCCCATATTTATTTTGTATAGAGGGATATCTGTCTCGAAATGCAGAAGTAGAAAGAACGATAGCTCGTGTGCCATTAGGTGTTATCATTCTTAGGGAGGAAAATGAAAGCGTTTTGTTTTTTCGATTAATGCAAACTTTAATTGCTGGCAACTCTGTCATTGTCATGTTTGGTGCAAATTTCTGTGATCTGTCACCATATTGTGATATGTTCTCAACATGTGGAATACCTCCAGGCGTTATAAATTTGTTGTCACATGAAGATACAGATATATTGGGGTATAAATTATGCTCACAAGTAAAGTATACAGACTATGCGGATGCGATTTTTTCAAAAGGCAACTCTAAGGACACGTATATTAAACCATATAAAAATCTTACTATAGAGAAGAATATTATACTGTATCTTAAATAACTTTTACGACGTATGGCAGTGTTTATATGTACGCAAGTATAATCATCTTGATATACTTCAGTATTATGATTTTAGGAGAAAATTTTTGTTTAAGCAGCTGTTAAAAATAGAGCTGATAATTAGACGATTGTATTACGTTTTGTATAGATAAAGGCTATAAAAATTGACTCAGATTATGTTTTTATTCGTATAATATTTTTATTTGTATATATAATGTAGAAAGTTGTAAAATTTAAAATAAAGCAATATTATTATGAGAAACTTATTACTTTCAGTTGCACAGACTATCGTTTCTAAAATAATATACAGCGTTTTCCGCATCGATTTTCAACAATAAAAAATAAATAAAAATGTTTTGTTTCTTTTCTCTTTTCGAAAACTTCACGTATGATCGATATAGATGTAGCAAAGTATAAAAGTATCTATCTAGCTAAATAGTTAGAAAAGAATGGTATAAAAACAAATAAATACACGTATTAATCTTTTTTGTAATATTCTTTATTACGTATAGTCGTTTTAGACTTTACTTCGCATCTGTGTGCAACGAATTAGTCATTATTAATTATATGAATCAGCATTCTTTCGTATAAATATTTTTGTGATGTTCCTTGTTTTTTTTATAGTATAATTACTATTATGACTTGATATAAATGCGTCACAAAATAATTCAGATATCTTTTTAGCCCAACCTTGAAATATTGCTGGTAAAAATCGAATCACCCAGATAATTAGAAAAGAAAATGTATGTTAATAAATAAAGAATGGCATTAAGACGTTTTCTTTTCTAAAAGTCGGGGTGAACTGAATAGCGAGCCAATTAATCTGCAAACTATATTATCATCAAGCAAATGTTACGCTGTACAATTCTTTTATCAATCCTCAGCACTCACCTCATATATAAACTGAATTGAATTTTGTGATTGATTTCAAAAGCGAAAGTATCTATAATCTTTTTCTTCCATGTTTATTGAATTCACAATTAATAAGTCACTAATAATTTATGTTAACAAGAATTAATTTAGTTAAAACTTAATCCCATGGGGGATTATCCCAAAGTCAATATATGAGTGCAAGGGATAAAAATATGAATGCTTATTAATATATAATACGTATACAGAGAAATTTGTATACGTGTAAAATTTATAAATATATAAGTGGTATTATATATTTATAAAAATTTGTATTACAATATATATTAGAGAATTAAAAAGAAGGCATCTAAAAGAGACCATAACATGAACAAAATTAAACCCAAGCCTAAGGATATATGATTGTTTTATATTCTTAGACATTTATATTCTCGTCGAATTTTCGTAAATATAGTTTATATATATAGAGCCGCGAGTATCTTCTCTCAAATAAAGTTTCAGTATATCGAGGAGCAAACGCACCCATGCAAATTTATCCTGATATAAAGTAACATACTCAAATAGCTGCCGGAATAATAACTCGTGTACCAAATGTATTTCTGCGATGAACTAAATTGCACTTTTTAGTAACAACGCAGTTACGCATTCTTTAACAAGATACTCCCACAAAAGTATTATCTTCTTATTAGTTTCCTTTCCAATTATATAACGAAATATAATAATCAAACATCTACAATAAAATACTAGAGGACATCCGAGATGTACTTGTCTCACATTCTTAAGAATTTTATAAAAAATATTGCTAGTAATCGGCGTTTTGATTAGATCAAAGAAACGTAGGTATAGTACAGTGTAACTTCTAGTGTACTTTATACAGTATATAGAGATAGTCGAACAATTTGATGCTAATTGAGCCTTTCCATTGATAATAAATGAGAATGTGTTAATGATTCGCTTATATAATTCGTTTTTCGGCTATATATCTTCATAATATGCTTTTAATATTAAAAAGGGATTACGCGATCGATATTAAACATATACATATTATCTATCATACGTCCATGTGTAAAGTATTGCACTAAAAACACTGATAATTTACGATGACAATAATTTATTTGAATCTCTTGAAATTTTCCTCGCTGGCAGTTTACTTATTAATGATATGTTATTAGAAGAGTATAAATGCAGATCTATGCGACACGAATAATGCGTTTATCTTATTTAATACTATGAGAATATTAATCGTTTACTGGAAGTGCGAGCATAATTATTCACCAAGCACGTAATTAAATACAAATATAAAATGTATTAATCCGTTTATTGTATATATTCTATATTAAGTTGGCACTTGTATAGCTATATACGAAAATAAGTTATATCTATGATCGATGTAAGGAAGAGGTCTGCATAAGTTCATTTCGCGTGCATAAGGCTTAAATCCTGTGGGGAAAAAGCATTTATTTGTGAAGACAGTCGCTGTTATGCTCTATTACTGCCGACAATTCGTCCCTTTAGTTAAATGACGCAAACTAGGCCATACAAGACTTAAAAATTAGCGATTTTAATGCAGTACTTCACATAAAAAATATTTCGCAAGCAGATATGTATTTTGTTAATTTCGCAACGCTATTAAAAGCGTCAGCAATCGTTACTCCTATATAAACAGTATAATTCTTCTGTTGATATTTGTACATGTATGCATATTTTGAGACAATATTTTTAAAACAATTTTTAGCAGTCTAATCCCGAGAAAAATATAAAAAGCCGCAAGTTAAAGTATGTTAAAAATCACAAAATCTGCGGCTATTAAAACCTTGTTCGCGCTTATATCTTGTTACTACTATTTTTGTCACTGAAACGATTCGGTCTTTCTTAAACGTTTCGTAAAAGAAAGATAATCTTCAAGCTGCATAATAAACATACAATATCCTCATATTAAAAATTAATAACCTTTTTCCAAAAATCTGATCATTATACCGTCAGATCTGGAAAGGCATGTATAACAAGGCCTATCCATTTAAGACACTTTTTTAAGGGAGCAGACACGTCAGAAAACATTCTGCGAGTTTCGCCAGTTCTGCTCTCTCTATGAATCTTGTTTTATATATATTACATAAAATAGATAAATTTCAACTACTTAAATTCTTTTATGCAATCGTTCCGTTTTATAAAAAAACCTATAAATGGCAACTTTTCTACTACTTTCACAGCAGCTGTAATACCTACTTTTTTGGCGAATTCAATAATCTTACTCTCTCTTTTTCCTCCTCGCTGACAAAAACTCTAGTAAACACTATATCACCTGTGCTAAGCGTTTGACAAGCCACACTAATTCCAGCGGCCTGGCGATCCGTCCGCGGATTATCGGTCTTATCGTCTTGACACGTGCAGACGCATTTGATAGGCGACACATCCGCATTGTTGATGGAAAGCTGGTCAGTCGCGGAGCTAGTAACAGCTGATAGTATGGCTTCCAGTTTCTCAATTTTCTCCAGTTTGTCCATCCGACCGTCTGAGAGTATTTCGTCCATCATTTGCATCGACTCAGTTAAACTTGGAGTGTCGGCGTTCCGTGGCGATAAGATGCCACCTGAAAAAATTGATTTTTAGATCGTAAAATTATATTAAAACCGCTAAAACTCGTTAATGAGATAAACCCATATTTTTACATTTTAATAATTTTATTTAATACTTAAAAAAAATATATATACATAATTTCAAATTTTCAATCATTTTGCATTCAAACTTGTGTATATTAAATGGCAAACGAAATTGTCATTTTGATATTTTACCAGAATGAGAATTTTCCGATGTGTAGCTTTCCAAGCTCTGATACTCATGATCATCCGTTTTATCCTCGTCGTCGTCATCGCTGCTATCGGCCTTATCCTGGCCCATATTCTCTAGCTTTTCCAATTTTCTAGCAACTTTGTAACTTCCTTTGAGCTTTTCCTTTTCGTCTTCGGTAAGATCCAAGTAGCGAAGAAGCCGAATTTCGCGATTACTCAATACGATATTTTTATTCGTCGCTTCTTCCATTCTCCTTTTCAGATCCGCCACTTCGGTCTCGACCTTTCGCTGCTTCTTACGTGCCTTTACATCCGACGGTCTTATGTGCATTTGAATCTGTTCTTCGCACAGCTCTGCAAAAAGACCTTGTACTTCTGGCTTTATAAGTCTGTCAATAATATACAGAAAACCGTTATTAGTTTGTAGCCCATTAATCACGAGAAAAATCTATTATTCACAAGTAGCGAATAAAACTATATACCTAGACATAGCATTATAAACTTGAGGTACAAGGCTTAAAACATCGCTGCTCGCGTAAATTAGCATGTCGCGAGTCATGGGTCGCCGAGACCAATAACGTTGATCTTTACGATAAATATTTTTCAATTGTTCTTTCAATGGATTACACGGAGCACCATAATGATCGCACAAAGTGTTCAGATTAACGTTTTTAACTTTGTACACAGGTTTCCCTGTTTCTTGAAACTGAAGCACTGCGTGCGCAGCCTATAAAAGATATTACCATTTTATACAAATGTAATAATATATTATCTCAATATTAAAAGAGCAAAAGAATATTAAGTACCTGCGTATCAAAAACATTCGTTAACGTAATCTTAAACTGATTATACAGATTGACACTGTCATTTCTACAATCGTGAATCACCTGCAAAAATCAACATAAATTTACAGGCTTGAAATAATTGCCTATGTAAAGTAATTATATACCTTTTATCTATTTCTATTTGTTACATATTATTATGACATTATTTTATATACATATTTTTACCTTAATAACATGAGGATGTTCCAGCAGTTTTTGGAGACCCCCAGCTTGAATAAGACTCGGGCACGTGACCAAATCGAACACATACGCTTGACCGCTCATCGTACCAATTTGTACAAGAGTCAGCTGTCCTTTAACGCCAAGATTTATGCCCTCGCAATCGAAAGAGACGACCACCTTGCCGTCAGGGGGAGGCTTTCGAGGATTTATTATATCCTCTACAACTTGAAGGCTTTCCCGCGAAGTCGCTATCACCCTGGTCTGCTGTAGCACCTTCAATTTCCACGCGTCGCCCATCTGGGCGGTTTGCAAACTACGATCCCGTTCCGTATTATCCGCCAAAGTCCTCATAACAATTGTATTGAATCTCTGCTTCAGAGACTGCTGCTGCAAACTCACGGGCGGTGAATTATTATTGCTTTCAACAGCGGGCAATGTGCACGCATTCTGCAGCGAATTGGATTGTGACGTCGCGTTGTTACAAACGTTTTCGAATCGATCCGAAGGCGGGGAGAGTTGGATCTTGCTCGGTGGAACGATCGGCACCACATTGTTCGTGTGAGCCACGTTGTTACTCTGATTGCGCTGATTGCCGCTCGCGGTCTTCGTTTTCGCGGCCGCGGGTTCCATCACGGAAGATTTCGGTCGGGCTATCAACGTCACCAGATTGGTTTGCACGTGGAAGGCATCCGGGAACATTTTTATAAAAGTGGACAGATCTTGCGGCGTCTTGAATATACTCGTCCAACTCTCGTGGGTGAACTGCTCATCGACCATACTGAATAACTGATCTATGAGAATCGGGCCCTTCTGCTCGATGCACACGCAGAAAAAGTCCAACAGTTTCGCCGTGACGTCCGGATCTATTGGAATATCTGGCTCCAGTTCATGAAACGGCTCCGGCTTCATGCCTTCGTATTGCTTCAATATCACGTTATCCTCGCTGATCACGAACGCATCGGGATACCTCAAGAGAAAATCACGAAATTCCTTATAGTGCTGACCGGATATATGCCTGACTTCCGGCGAGGCTTGCGACCGATGACCCAGGAGGCTCTTGATAGGCACTTCGGTGCCCACCCCGTATTGCAATAGCTTATTCGTAAAGTATTCTACGGCCTCGCGGGCGTAGTCGCGTTTACCAGATTTATTCCCGCTCTCCTCTTCCACGACCGGCTGAAACGTGTTGACGGACACGTACTCGCCGTCGATCAGGAAGAGTGCCGGATACTGCGCCAGAAATTTCTTAAGGCCACTTTGCGATCCTCCCGCTATTTGACGCATCTCCTTCGTGAATCCTTTAGCCCCGAACTGGCAACTTAGGTCGTGCAACGTACGCGGACCGCCCTTGTCCATCAGTCGTTCGAAGAAGAAGAGAAGGGTCATGTTTCTGACCATTTCGTATTCGGAGCTGTCCATCTTTCGGTATGTATGGCTGCACCGTCAAGAAATTTATAATTTATCACATACGCTCTTTTCTTCAAAATGTGTCAAGACGTTTCCTGTAAAAAGAAACCATCAATTTTATCACGGACGTTAGATCGTTACTGTTTCTAAAAATTAAATATAGTCACATTCTTTGTAACATTACACTTACTGTCATAGTAAAATTGAAATACCGAAGATGAAGGCACATCGCTAATCTATCACCATTTTGTATTCATGCCTTTGCAAAAAGTATACGTTGGATTCGTCCGCGATTGATGGAAATGATTTCTACTGGGGTTGAGCGATTTCCAATTGAAGCAAACACTTTCAGAGCCAGCATAATGGAGGAAAAGGCAGATCTGAAGAATATTTTCGTTG